ATGCTGACGTTATTCAACCAAGTCAGGGAGCCTGACCACCCGATCCCGTTAGTCACCTCTTACGACAAGCATAGTCGCGTTTTATGGCATGCATGGGTTGGTGTAAACCTATTTTAACCCGGATCTTCATGGGTAAAATATGCAAATAAAAGAATCTTTTATGAAATAATAAAACCAAATGATAGACAGGCCTGATGATAGTGATAGATAGTGGGATGGCACTTATTCAGATTCCTTGTCTCCGGAAACCTTTTGGATTATATTCCTTGCCAGAGTAAATGGCCCATTTACCAAGAATCGGGTTTCTATTGTGGAAGGTTATTTATGATTCAACATGGCTCTTTAACCATAACATGGTTCCCCTGTGAACAAGGCACTCAGTATGTGAGGATGTATGTTTAAAGGCCACACCTTGAGACATGTATAGATTCAACTGAACTTACACTCAGACTGTAATGTTCAGCACTCCATGCTTGCTGTAAAAGGCGACTATGCTTGTCGTAAGAGGCGACTAACAGGATCAGGTGGTCAGGCTTGCTGACTTGGTTGATGCATGTCATCATATTCTGATCGATGCTCATTATATCAATCACTGGATTGTCTGGTTCAGACTCGATTATTTACAGACTGCTGTCATATAGCTGGAATATTGCTGAGTGCGCCGTTAAACAACAAACAAACAAAACAAACATTTCCATATTTAGGTCTTCAGCAACCCATGCTTTTGCCCTAAAATGTGAGTTTGCTAGTTGTAAGAGAAGACTAACGGGATCGGGTGGTCAGGGTCGCTGACTTAGTTGATGCATGTCATCATATCCCAATTGAGTCTTAATACTCATGATGTCAATCACTGGATTGTCTGGTCTAGACTCGATTATTTACAAACCGCCATCATATAGCTGGAATATTGCTGAGTGTGGTGTTAAACAACAAACCAACCAACCAACCAATTGCGGGGCTCGATGTTCATGATATTAATCACTGGATTGTCTGGTCCAGACTCGATTATTTACAGACTGCCGTCATGTAGCTGGCATATTGCTGAACGCTGCGTTAAACAAAAAAACAAAAAACAAACAAACATGTGAAAAAATCATGTTCTCTTTAACTTTTTAAAAGTAGTATACATTGTCCGTATTATAGGTTAGTCTGTATCAGCTGGTCATAGGTTGTGGAATAATTGCCAGCTTGAAATCAGTGTTGTCTTATCATGTTGACCTTGAAGTCAAGTGTGTGACACGACATATGGATGCTAATGAACACAAACAAGCCTGGAGTGCTTGATGAAATGGGTCAGCTCTACTTGTCAAAACCTTGGTACACTTAGTGCAAACTCTGGTGTGAGATGCAGATGAAAGGCATCACTGAATTTTGAAAAATAAAATAAAATTTACTTTATTTACTTTTTTCATCAATAGTCAAATTAGAAAATAAGAGAGGTACAACTTTATGGATAACAACTTCTGGTTTATTTCATTTAACAATGTTACTATGTAGATTCTTTCACTGTTATTAAGGGGCGGTTGGGTAGCCTTGTGGTTAAGACGTTCACTCTTAACGCCGAAGACCCAAGTTCTATTCCAGACATGGGTACAATGTGTGAAGCCCATTTCTGGTGTCCCCCACCGTGATATTGCTCGAATATTGCTAAAAGCCGCCTAAAACCATACTCACTCACTCACTCACTCACTCACTCACTCACTCACTCACTCACTCATATATCTGTTCTGATAAGAAGTGTTTAATTGAGACTCAGTGTTTAATCGAGACCTGGCGTTTATTCGAGACCCAGTGTTTGTTCAAGTCCCAGCATTTATTTCTGGTGTCCCACGCTGTGATATTGCTGGAATATTGCTAAAAGCGGCGTAAAATCAAACTCACTCACTCACTCACCGTTATTAAGCTGGACTTGTTATCCATATCCTATTTTTCTATTTACTCACCAACTTCTAGAATGCCACCTAAACAGTTAATAGTTAAACGTTTGACCATATTTATTATGTTTAAGACCAAACTGTATTTGCTCAGGGATGAGAATTGTGTCAAGGGTCACTTTCATTGTGCTAGGACTTGGACAGTTAACTCGGGTACTAGGGTCGGATGGGTCCTGAGTAGGACCCGGATACCCACATGACTACCCGGACCTGTGGTTAGTCACGTGATATATTGTTTAATGACGAAAACTCAGTGGTTACACTACAAGTTGCTAATGTTCCAATTTCTTTGACGATGCACACATTCCTTTTGACTTGTATATGAGTAAAGATAAAGCTTCATTTAACTTTAGTGTATGCATGATCTGATTGTTTGATACATGTATCTAAATAGTTTTGACCAGGGCTGTGGTAAAACGATTCCCAATCAGACATTTTGAGACATCTCCTGAGACCTGCAGCGGGTACCCGGGTAGGGTCAGGTAATAGAGGGTAGGGTACCCGGGTAGTAAATTTGGACTTGTCCCAGCCCTAAATGATACTGCCATTACAATACAGGCCTATATCATATAGTCTCCCAGACCTCCGCTCCATGTGTATTTTAATTACTTTGTTTGTCCTGAACAATATGGTTGAAATTTTCTTCTTAAATCACAAGATATGCCATTGTACATTTATCCTATCTCATTGTTATCATCGGTATTATTTAGAAAATGACAAAGACACAAATCAATCATGTTAATCAAGTGCTACCCCCTTTTAAATAGCAATAATCATGATAATAAAGATAAATTCAAGTAGAGTAACTGTTTTCAAATTCCCGTGTTCCATCTACCCACGTCCTCTGTAATGTCATCTCAGGCTGAGAGTGGCGTGGGGTCAATTGTCAGTTCACAAGTCAGTATAGGGTATGTACAGGGGTAAATTCAACTGCTGGCCTGTGGCCGGTTAAAATAACAAAGGGCTTGCTGAAATATAAATTAGATTGCCTGTCTGGCTATTCAAAGTTTTCCCCCTTCTCTGTGTACCGGTATGTTTAATTTTAAAAATTTGATCACCTTGGTAGAATGACAACCGCTATTTTTTAAATGTTGTGTGAAAAAAACATTTTTATTTGCTCATAAATCACCACGGATTGAGGCAAATGGAAGCCAAGATTTAATCTCAGAGTGCGAAAAATATGTTTTACAGGTGAGGACTTCCAAAATTTTCAGAACCCAGCTAGGTGGCTACACGACCTCAGGTTTCGTCCCCTTCGCGACCTCCACCATTTAGTGGTAGGCCAGTTAGTTTGAAGAAGGGCCAGTAACATTTGAAAGGAGCAAGCCCTGCTGGCTACATACAAATGTGTTGTTAAATCTACCCCTGCTGGAACCATCACCAACCAAGTAGTACACTCTACAACAGAACAAATATAGATATAAATACACTTAAATACACTTAAATACGACATCTGTTGTTCTAAACATTCATTTTATGACAGCTATTGCATGCCACCTGTTAACTATTAAACAATCAGAAGCCAAGAGATTTGCAATACTGTCATAATCAATATTCCAGTTATATGAGGTAGTTTGCATTGTTCATTCACCATGGGGTGTTTTCCCTTTCATAATCATACCGCCATGTCAGAATGATGAGATCTGATTGGTCCACATGATCTTGATAAAATACTGTGTTATCTGTCTTGGAAGGTAATACATTTCTCAGCTGGGGAATGAATCTCTTATACCCTGCCACTAGCAATGCAGGCTGCACATGGATATCTGAGAGGCAGAATAAATCCCTTATACCCCGCTTCAATGCAAAAACTGCATGCTTTTCCCCAGTCTGTGGAAGTCACCTGACCTAGAACAAGTTAAGATCAGCTCAATTGAACAGCTGTTTTCAATCAATTTTGAATTTGTGTTAATTGTTTTACAATGTCACATTAAAACATGTCGGGAAGGTAAATTCATTTTTGCAGGATCACTTGGGGTACATGGGGTTTTATGTGTGTTATGCCTCTAGCTCGTGGTATAAAACCTAACGCGGGATGCATTAAACCCCTTGTGCCTCGAGTGATCCTGCTACAACTTATATTGTCCTGCCTCTCCTCATGTATTTGGGGGCACGGATGGCACATTGGGGGAAATAAACCAAGGGCTTCCTGTTGCAAGGCTACTTGTGCTTAAACAATCTGTCTACCCTATCTCCCCATTCAGTAATAAAATCTGTCATGGATATAACATGCAATCTCATTAAAATCAGATCTTAGTTCTCGCTGCCGCTAAACAAAGATCTGAGGACATCCCATTACCAGACTGACCTTTCGCGAACTCTGACCGACCAATGGAATTACTGACAAGAAGACAAGAAGTCGACATTAGCCAATCAGAAGGCAGCTTTCTCGTGCTTTACGGCACTAATTTCACATTGGCGACTACGCTTCGAAACATATTTTGATAAATTCTCGCTTAAAAATTTGAAACCTGAACAAAAGCACATTCTCGAATGGCTAATATATGGTCTAGGTTGTATAGATTCAGTCGTTAAGCCTGTAACTATCGTTCGGAATACCCCGTTTTAAAGCTTTCGAGGCTGCATGATGAGAAATCACATTCCGACTGTCACTTTCATGATCTGGTATGCGACACTGTCATTTGTCGGATGAAAGGTCATTCTGACGTTACCCCTAATGGGATGTCCTCAGATCTTTGTTTAGCGGTAGCGAGAACTAAGATCTGATTTTAATGAGATTGATATCACATGGAGAGTAATATTTTCAATATTTGTACATGTACATTTTGGTGAATCTCGTGGCTGATCATTAACCAAGCCTCAAAGTAAGCACCATACCCGTGCTCGTGGGTTTCACCGAAGTGGTAAAGGTCTGAGACCTGCATCACTTCGGGCTTTCCTCCCACATTAAGCTGACACCCCGTGATATAACTGGAATACTGTTAAAAGCGGCGTTAAGCCCGACTCGCTCACTCACTCAATGACTTGATTTCTGTAAGATTTGACTATATTGAATCAGATGGTCAGCCAGGTGATACAGTGTTTATTATTGGTCTTGTATTGCAGGTTATTGAAGCCATCGCATCTGCTATTGCCCAGACAGAAGGATGCAGCGTGCTGGATGTCGACCCAGGGATCTCCACCAACCGTACGGTCTACACCTTCGTCGGCAACCCAGTCACTGTGGTCGAGGGAGCTCTCAATGCAGCGCGGGCAGCTTACCATCTCATCGACATGAGGACGCATAATGGTAGCCTGACTTGAAGGCTAATTGGCAGTTCTAGTTTGATTCAAGATTTTTAAACACCATTTTGTTTGTTTACTATCTTAGATTTTATGATTCTGATCAGAACTTACTCATTGCCCTACTTATACAAATGTCTCAATGTCACTCATTTTGTTTCTTTGTTTGTTTAACGCAGCACTCAGCAATATTCCAGCTATATGACAGCGGTCTGTAAATAATCGAGTCTGGAACAGTGATTGATGTCATGAGCATCGATCTACACTATTAAGATACGATGCCATGCTTCAACCAAGTCAGCCAGACTGACCACCCAATCCCGTTAGTCGCCTTTTACGACAAGCATGCAATGTCACTTGTGGATTGTTGTTCATAATATCAATCACTGGGTTGTCTGGTCTAGATTTACCTATTTACAGACTGCCGTCTTGAAGCTGGAATATTGTTGAGTGTGATGTTTAACAAACAAACAAAACAACTAAAACAACCAAATATATAATGTTAGGAGGTTTATATGATTGCAAGATCGAGATTAACATGGAGGTTACCAGTGTATCACCTATTGAAGACTGCCCTGGACATCAATGTTTTGCAAAGTAACAGTGTTAACAAGTTACCGTATTCGACATAATAAGCGCCCACGGCGAAATTTGCTAATATATTGGCTAGTGAACAATCCCAGTTAGCACCCTTTGCGATTGATCAATGTACACAAGACTTATTTATTCGTGTATAATATGCACTCGTTTGTTATATGCACCCTTAACTATGGGCAATTTTATTCTCGAAAATATATCTATCGTGTATAATACACACAGATTCTTCTTTCATATCATTAGGCTGTCAGCATAAACCACAAAATTTACAATCGTTTTTAATCTCACCAAAATTATATTCTAATAAGAGCCCCCTATTTCTAATTTTGAGAGCACCCTGGGCGCTTATTACGTCGAATACGGTAAATGTTTTTCAGTAACAGTGAGATGATCCCACACTTAGCACCACAGTACAATATGGGGACTTCCATAGTATCTGTTGCATGTGTAATTTTCGATACAAAAATACTACCGATTTTGACATATGGTTCCGAGATTTGGGGATTCAAATATAATGATAAAATAGAAAAGGTTCAACAGTGGTATTTTAAAATATTCATAGGTTTATCTTAATATTCTTCCAGCAATGCGGTTTTCAGAGACTGTGGAAGAAATTATATATATGTTGAGTGTTTCACAAAAGTTATTAAATATTGGTGTAAACTTTTAACCTTAGATTGTGGTAGATATCCCAGGGCTTGTTATGCCATGTTGAAATCACATGATGAGTTAGGAAGAGTAAACTGGGTCAGTCACGTTCAGAAACTTTTGTTCAATACAGGTATTTTTTAACTTATCCTGCATTACTCCGTATTGCATTTACTGCTATGTTTGACAGAGAGACGAACTGTGTGAGATCCAGCTGCTGAAGAAAGTTGTCCCAACCAGCCCAGGAGGCAGCGCCCTCTCACAGTCGGCACGTGACCCTGAAGTCATGACATCACACAAAAAGACATAACTGCTTTGTCACCTCCACGGACGGACGTACTTTGTATCCCTTGTGGAAATTAAAGCTTATTATTTGTTTTTTATATTTTGCGTGTTTCTACATTCATTATATGCTGCTACATTGTTACCTGTTATGGGCCGTGACCTTAGGGTCTTCCCATTCGTAAATTGTAACGTTTATCGCTCGTCTGTGGCTCACGTCACAGTAAATTACGGGCGCAATGTTGTTCCCGCCATTTTGTTTTCTTTCCCGCCATTTTGGCCATTCACCACGTGGCCACGTAATGTCGTGATCTGCGTTTTGAATTCTCTCTTTGGCTTGGGTAATACATTACATTTATGTATGTTGTTTTGGTGTGCTTAAAGCCTTGCCTTTTCGCTACCCCTAAGCGTAATTGTTTCTTCTCATAAACTTCAATATAATACGAAGTTTATGAGTTACATTATGTCTCCCGTACTCTGTGGTTTTGCCACATGGTTACGTGTTTGCTTAAGGCTTTGCCTTTTCGCTCCCTTTTAGCGTACTTGTTTATCTCATAAACTTTAATAAAATATACTGTTTTTGAGTTACTTTATGCTTCCCATACTTTGTGATTGGCCACACATTATGCTTCCCGCACTTTGTGGCTTTGCCACATAGTTATGTTTTGCTTAAATTCCAGATTTTCTGCCTCGCTGCACTTGTTGCCGCGGGAACAAATCTGGCCGGGGCCGCCCCTTTCTGCCGTGATTGTACGACGCCCTGTACTTTCACAAGGCAGTGCCGATGTTGCAGTCATTCGTCGCTGTGATCCTTCAGCTCATGCGAGTATCCAGGACACACCTCGCTCAACGTGCTCGTCGACCCCCACCTACGTTGACGGCAGCAGCGCTCAGCGGAGCTTCACGGCGGCTCCCAACGTAGAGTCTGCCTCCCATGGCACGACATACGACCGTTCACGGTCTCCAACACCGTCAACGCTGATGTCTCCGGCGCCCCCGGCGCCTCCGATGTCTCGGCGCCTCTGATGACACGGCGCTCCCGGCGTCTCTGATGACCCGGCGCTCCCGGCGCCCCCGGCGCCTCCGATGTCTCGGCGCCTCTGATGACACGGCGCTCCCGGCGTCTCTGATGACCCGGCGCTCCCGGCGCCCCCGGCGCCTCCGATGTCTCGGCGCCTCTGATGACCCGGCGCTCCCGGCGCTCACGGCGCCTCTGATGACACGGCGCCTCCGGCGCTTCTGATGACGCGGCGCCTCCGATGTCTCGGCGCCTCTGATGACACGGCGCTCCCGGCGTCTCTGATGACCCGGCGCTCCCGGCGCCCCCGGCGCCTCCGATGTCTCGGCGCCTCTGATGACCCGGCGCTCCCGGCGCTCACGGCGCCTCTGATGACACGGCGCCTCCGGCGCTTCTGATGACGCGGCGCCTCTGATGACACGGCGCCTCCGGCGCCTCTGATGACGCGGCGTCTCCGGCGCCTCTGATGACACGGCGCCTCCGGCGCTTCTGATGACGCGGCGCCTCTGGCGCCTCTGATGACACGGCGCCTCCGGCGCCTCTGATGACGCGGCGCCTCCGATGTCTCGGCGCCTCTGATGACACGGTGCCTCCGATGTCACGCCGCCTCCGATGTCTCGGCGCCTCTGATGACACGGTGCCTCCGATGTCTCGGCGCCTCTGATGACTCGGCGCCTCTGATGACACGGCGCCTCCGATGACTCGGCGCTCCCGGCGCCTCCGATGACTCGGCGGCCTCTGATGACTCGGTGCCTCCGGCGCTTCCGATTGAGTTCAAATCGGTGCCTCCGATGTCACGGCGCCTCCGATGTCTCGGCGCCTCTGATGACACGGTGCCTCCGATGTCTCGGCGCCTCTGATGACTCGGCGCCTCTGATGACACGGCGCCTCCGATGACTCGGCGCTCCCGGCGCCTCCGATTGACTCGGCGGCCTCTGATGACTCGGTGCCTCCGGCGCTTCCGATGACTCGGCGCCGCTGATGTCTCGGCGCTCAACAAGCTTCATGACTTGTTCATGACAAGCTGATGACTCGGCGCTCCCGGCGCTTCCGATGACTCGGTGCCACCGGCGCCTCTGATGACTCGGCGCCGCTGATGTCTCGGCGCCTCTGATGTCTTCGCGCTCCGGCGCCTCCGCATCCTCTGATGTCTTCGGCGCTCAACAAGCTTCAGATCAACAAGCTTTATCAAGCTCAGATCAACGAGCCGACCATCCGATCTTCTACTGCGGCTTAAGGGGCACCATCGGCAATCGCCTCCCCGGCGCCACTGCCCTCTTCTCTTGCTGCCGTCTCATAACTCGTCACACGGAGAAGCATGGTGAAACAACTGTCGCCGCTCCTGTCGCTACTCTCCCGTCGGTCTTCGGGATCGTGACTATCGTACTACTTCCTGGGTGGAATCATTTCAACCAATAGACAGTTGGTCTGATTCAACTTGCCCACTGAGACGTTATCCATAATCCCGTCGTTTAAAGCGCTATGATTCCGGAGAGATGACCTGCGGGTTTCCATCGAAACAGAGCGTCATGTGAACAGCGTCTGTATCAGATTCGATGACGACATCCACTTACAAAGAGTTTACTTCGTCGACATCGCAGACATCAACGCTGTTCTACCCTACCCTAGCGCCAGCGTTCCTGAGAGAGACTCTTCCTCGGCGCTCCCCAGGTTTTACACGACGCCCATGGGGTTCCGTGTTTTATCGCAAAACTCGGGTACACCACTTGATCGTCTCTCACACAGTTCATTGAGGATTGTCTGTGTGTGGAGTTTGCACCTCAGTTCCGACTCCAAGGCGGTTTTCTCGGCTACTGCGCAGAGTGATTTACATGTCACGTGTCAAGTACTCGGACTGTCAACAACTCCGACCGGATTTAGGTCAACTTACCATGGCAAGGGGTGCCATGTATTTCTACAGATTGGTTTCCATGTCTACCTGTACGCTTGGTGATACCACTCAACCAGGCGCCTGTCGCAGTCCATCCATGCACGGATGTTGGAAACAATAGACCTCCTCTACCAACACGGCTGTCACGAGGAACCTTGTTTCATCAACCCTTCGCTATAAGAACGATAGCGCCTATAGGCGTTCAAGGGATGGAAAAGATCGCCTTCCTTCGTCCGGTTTGATCTTTTCGACTACGACACCTTCCTATCTTCCGCCTTGACTACCGGACACAGTGTCGATTTGATACTTAAAGTCCCTCGGCCGTCCCACTGACCCCTGTTGCATACCTGCCTCGTATCGTGTTGCTGTCCTCCATCGTCACCTCGATATAAGAACAGGAGTACTTATACGCCGCTTCAGGGATGAAAACGATCTCATTACTTCGTGCAATGGCCATATTGCCTCGACTTCCTACTACCCGGTTACGTCGATGCCCCGGCGGTCGATTGTGAAGCTAGTTTACTTCGTCTACTTGAGGTTGGCTCGCAGGCGATCACACCTTTTTCCGAATCGTACCGACGGTACGCAATCGCAGACCCCTGTTGCTGACTACCTCCCCTGCCACCTTGTCAGTGGCTAGTGGCCCACGCCAGCCCACATTGTGACCACCTGTGATCCAGAGATCAACACCATAGGCACAGCAACAGCCTCGAGATAAATGCTTATCCAGGACGGCACTTGCTGACAGTGCATTCTCGGTCACGCCCTGTTGATCGTGTCCACTGACGACGTCACCGTAGTGTGGTGTTTGCGGACCCAGAGTTCTCGCCCCTCTCCCGGCGCTACAAACTCGACCGGCGCCCCCGAGAATCACCATCTTAGGCGTTCCAGGCGCCTCAAGCTCTCTGACGCCTCACGCTCTCCGGCGCCTCGGGCCAGACTATGTGAAACGGTCGACACCCCAACCCTAGATCTGTTTGCCTCATATCTGAATGTGGCCAGCAGTCGTCTTCCATTCCACCTGTGCCGGATACGACCGCTGTGGCAGTCGAAGCCTTCCATCGTTCCTGAGAAGGATTACGCGCGTACGCTTTTCCGACTCCGGTTCTCCCTCCCACGGTTCTTCAGAGATCCAGGCCACTCGACCCCTGCCATTGACTTTGGTCTCGCCTTATTGGTCAGCCAGAAGTTGGGTTATCGACCTCCGAAACATAGCCAGAGACAACCCCTGGAACTTCCTGTGTGGTCCAACCACACGGTCTGTTGCCACACCCTCATACCCGCATGTTATCGTCTGCACGCCTGACACACATGCAGAAAGCCAAGGGCTATTCGGCTAGAGCGACCAAGGCTATTGCTTCAGCCCACCGTCCATCTACAGGGGGACTGTATGCTGATAAATGATGCTTGTTCCAGGCATTTTGTTCTGACAAACACCAGGATCCGATGACAGCGTCACCGCAGATTCTGGATCAGTTCCTTCTGTACTTGTGTAGCACCCGTCGGTTGAAGGGCTTACCACCCCCACATACCTGGTCGCCATCTACTCCGTTCTGGCCATCCCGGACGATCGGAGAAAGACGAAAATTCCCGACCTACGGGCCTGGCTGCGCTCGTTCAGTCTTGAAGACCTGAATACCAAGTTCGGACCGCCTGCGTTGGATCTGAATGTGGTCTTCAACGCCCTTCGAACCACTCCCCTCGTCTTCCTTCTACGACCTTAAGTAGAAGACGGGTGTTTCTACTGGTTTTGACTACTGCCGCTCGAGTCCATGTACAGCACGCCCTCGACGTCTCCCATACCCGGTTCGAATGCGGTACCCAGGGCGCCGTTCATCATGGACCGTACTGGGACGTCAGCGTAAAGACTCAACTCCCAGGACAGCCTGATAGATCATTCCTTGTCCCCTCCCCCCTCGTCCAGTGTGGGTGCCGAGGATGAGGATGAGCGTCATTATGCCCAGTAAGGGCACTGAAGGTTATTCTACGATCTAAAGACTGCCGCAAGTCTAGGAAACACCTTTTTCTGCCGGTCTCCCCTTCGTCGCTGTCGTTGGTCAGCCGGGAATACTTTTCCCTGTGGCTCCGGGCGGTCATCCTTAAAGCGTATGAGCCGCCGGATTGGACCCTCCCCCCAAAGGCTATTACCTGAAATAAAATGAGATCAGGGCGATCGTATTTACACTGGTTCTTCACGGTATACTGTTCCATCCCGTCGTTCAGGGAAGCCTGTTCGTGGCGATCGGACACCGCCTTCACCAACCACTACTTCAGTGATGTAGCCTTGAAAGTTGTCGCCAGCGTTCACAGTTTTGGTCCCTGGTTGTAGCCCAACAGGTCATCTATCTCCGACGCCACTGATTCTCCGATACCCTGAGCGGGGCCCGTCGACCTCTCTGGTGTTTATCACCCCAGACGAGACGGCTCTCTTGCGTTCCGCATTCGCTCTTAGGTCAGTTTTAGTTTTGGGTTACCCGACTCATTCTATTGCTTTCACCTATCCGGGTTTTACTTTTTGCATCAGCTCTCGTTTCCTGACGACAGGAATGGTAGTAGATGTGGACACCGGCGCCGACGCCAACGCCGCTGCTTCTCTGGTACCTGAGCGGTGCCCGTCGACCTCACCGGTGTTCCTTGCCTCCAGCCTAGAGGGCTCTCCTGCGTTTCGCATTCGCTCTTGGGATTGGTCGTAGATTTTGCCGCCGACGCCGCTGATTCTTCGATTCCCCGAGCGGGGCCCGTCGAACTCTCTGGTGTTTATCACCTCAGATTAGAGGGTTCTACTGCGTTTCGCTTTCGCTCTTCGGTAAGTTATATATTTTGGCTACACGCCTCATTGTATGTCGGTTACCTATTCGGGCGTTTCGTTTTTGCATCGACTCTTGTTTCCTGAAGACAGGAATGGTCGTAGATGTTCCGGTCATCACTTGTATGCGGTGCGGATTCATCGGACCTTGACGAGGGTTTAATATGGTTCACATCTGCAGGTATGCCCACCAGCCAAGCCGTCTGATAAAGATGCAATACGGAGTAATGCAGGATAAGTTAAAAAATTTAGTAAAATCTAAATATTTTTTACATTTGTATACTTATCCTGCATTACGAAGTCTAAGTGCCCTCCCTTTCGCTACGCTACCTCCCCACGAAGTTTCAGATGTTATGTTTAAAGCAGTTATGTCTTTTTGTGTGACGTCATGACTTCCGGGTCACGTGCCGACTGTGAGAGGGCGCTGCCTCCTGGGCTGGTTGGGACAACTTTCTTCAGCAGCTGGATCTCACACAGTTCGTCTCTCTGTCAAACATAGCAGTAAATGCAATACGGAGTAATGCAGGATAAGTATACAAATGTAAAAAATATTTAGATTTTACTAATTTTCATATGTTTGGATTATGCAATAGTATGGGGATGTGGATGCATTTCTGCAGCAGTTCAAACAACGGTGTAAGGATATGGGAATTAAAAATTGGCATAGTAAAGTAGAAAATTCTCATTTTTTAGAAAGTTATTCTATTTTAAAGACACTGTTAACTCCCGAATCCTATATTCTACATTTAGAACACAAGGATTTGATTAGAATTTTGTGTAAATTTAGATGCTCTTCTCACCACTTGAATATTCAAAAATTACGATCCTCAAATGATTTTAATTCCTCAAATGTATTAGAAAGTTTATGTGAAAAATGTGATTTGGCAGTTAAAGTTTTCATAAATTTCCTTCAGAGGATAAGTTTAATTGTTAATGGCAATTAGTGATGTACATGTACTAAAAAGAATTGCTCTGTTCCTTAAGAGAAATTTAATTTCTTTAAAGTTGAAACTGAACAAACAAATCATTGTATGACATTTTGTTCCACGCATGCATGCATGTTGTAATGGATGAAATTTCACATTTGTTCTATAAAATATGAATGGATCTTTTGTACTGTAGGCCATGAGGCCCATTATACAGAAATATACACACTTAAAAAAAGAAGAAGTATTATTCAAGACTACAACCACTGCATTTTGACCCAGTCTTCTGAATGCATGAATTTACCGTACTTTATCCAGTAGATGAGCACCGCTGTACGGTAGCCATAGATGTCTACTTTTAGAAATGTTTCAACTGTTTTACAGAGGGATGTCCCCACACTTAGCACAGTATGGAACTACCGTCACATCTGTAGTTATTCAAGGCTACAAGAGCTGTAGTGACCCAGTCTTCCCAATGTGTGATTTACCGTACTTTATCCTGTAGGTGAGCATCCTCGTATGGGCGCCATGGATGTGTGCCCCTTCATCCCCGTCCAGGACGCCACCATGGAAGACTGCATACAGTGTGCGCAGGAGTTTGCCGAGAGACTCGCAGAGGAGCTGTCTGTACCAGGTAGACACTGTCTACAGGACACATTGTTTTCAGAGTTTACAGATTTTGTTTGAAAAGCTATGGTCTGTAGGTGGAAAAAAATTTCAGATTCTTATTATCAACAATTGACCTAATTTGGACCTAGTTTGGAGCAAATAGTTTTAAAGGTGTCGTTGTTGTGACCTAGTTTGGAGCAATTTTCTAAAAGTGGTCATTATTGTTATCTTCTAGTGACCTAGTTTGGAGAATTTCTTATTGTAGTCATTATTGTTGGTATCTGCTAGTGACCTAGTTTGGAGAATTTCTTATTGTTGTCATTATTGTTGTTATCTGCTAGTGACCTAGTTTGGAGAATTTCTTATTGTGGTCATTATTGTTGTTATCTAATAGTGACCTAGTTTGGAGCAATTTTCTTATAGTGGTCATTATTGTTGTTGTTATCTACTAGTGACCTAGTTTGGATAATTTCTTATTGTGGTTATTATTGTTGGTATACTAGTGACCTAGTGTGGATAATTTCTTATTGTGGTCATTACTGTTGTTATCTACTAGTGACCTAGTTTGGAGACTTTCTTATTGTGGTTATTACTGTTGTTATCTACTTGTGACCTAGTTTGGAGAATTTCTTATTGTGGTTATTACTGTTGTTATCTACTGGTGACCTAGTTTGGAGAATTTCTTATTGTGGTCATTTCTGTTGTTATCTACTAGTGACCTAGTTTGGATAATTTCTTATTGTGGTCATTACTGTTGTTATCTACTAGTGACCTAGTTTGAATAATTTCTTATTGTGGCCATTACTGTTGTTATCTACTAGTAACCTTGTTTGGAGAATTTCTTATTGTGGTCATTACTGTTGTTATCTACTAGTGACCTAGTTTGGAGAATTTCTTTTTGTGGTCATTATTGTTGTTATCTTTTAGTGACCTAGTTTGGAGAATTTCTTTTTGTGGTCATTACTGTTTTTATCTACTTGTGACCTAGTTTGGAGAATTTCTTATTGTGGCCATTGCTGTTGTTATCTACTAGTTTGGAGGCCCTAATTGTTGCCATTACTGTTGTTATCTACTTGTGACCTAGTTTGGAGAATTTCTTATTGTGGTCATTATTGTTGTTATCTACTAGTGACCTAGTTTGGATAATTTCTTATTGTGGTTATTATTGTTGGTATACTAGTGACCTAGTGTGGATAATTTCTTATTGTGGTCATTACTGTTGTTATCTACTAGTGACCTAGTTTGGAGACTTTCTTATTGTGGTTATTACTGTTGTTATCTACTTGTGACCTAGTTTGGAGAATTTCTTATTGTGGTTATTACGGTTGTTATCTACTGGTGACCTAGTTGGAGAATTTCTTATTGTGGTCATTACTGTTGTTATCTACTAGTGACCTAGTTTGGATAATTTCTTATTGCGGTCATTACTGTTGTTATCTACTAGTGACCTAGTTTGAATAATTTCTTATTGTGGCCATTACTGTTGTTATCTACTTATGACCTAGTTTGGAGAATTTCTTATTGTGGCCATTGCTGTTGTTATCTACTAGTTTGGAGGCCCTATTTGTTGCCATTACTGTTGTTATCTACTAGTGACCTAGTTTGGAGAATTTCTTATTGTGGCCGTTGCTGTTGTTATCTACTAGTTTGGAGGCCCTAATTGTGGCCATTACTGTTGTTATCTACTAGTGACCTAGTTTGGAGAATTTCTTATTGTGGTCATTACTGTTGTTATCTATGAGTGACCTAGTTTGGAGAATTTCTTATTGTGGCCATTACTGTTATCTACTAGTGACCTAGTTTGGAGAATTTCTAATTGTTGTCATTACTGTTGTTATCTACTAGTGACCTAGTTTGGAGAATTTCTTATTGTGATCATTACTGTTGTTATCTACTAGTGACCTAGTTTGGAGAATTTCTACTTGTGTCCATTACTGTTATTATCTACTAGTGACCTAGTTTGGAGAAGTGTTAATTGTGGCCGTCACTACTGTCAACACCGATGGCCCATTGTGATGCCTGGTGATTGTTTCAGTCTACCTGTATGGCGAGGCAGCCAGAGATGACAGAAGGAAGAAGCTGCCTGACATAAGATCAGGGGAGTTCGAGGGACTCCTTACAAAGGTAGGCAACACATGTGTCAGACCAACTCCTCCAATCAGTGCCTTGTACTCCAAATCAATTAACTGGTGGACTTTCATCCACAACACCTCACCACCCGTGAAGATTCCGAGGTAGAATAGGTCTTCAGCAACCGTCGTAAAAGGCGACTAACGGGATCAGGTGGTCAGGCTCGCTGACTTGGTTGATGCGCGGTCATCAATCCCAATCGCGTGGATCGATGCTCATGATGTCAATCACTGGATTGTCTGGTCCAGACTCAATTATTTACAGACCGCCGTCATATAGCTGGAATACTGCTGAGTGCGGCGTTAAACAACAAACCAACAACAACAACACAACACCTCACTATCAAACACCCTACATCAACTGATGAAATACTGTAGTCATAGTCTTCCCAAACATTAGTGCTTGATGGGAATCTGTTGACCGTAATGAACACAAATATCTTCATCAGATTGTTGTATGCAATATAATAGCAAAGAATACAAGATACTTCACACTTCATGTTTTGTTATCAATTTGGATGATTGATCCCTTGATCATTTTGTTTCATTAAATTTATATGATAAATAAATGCTTCCAGCATCACATTTTCGATAAATTTGGTTGAAAATCTGAAAACTAACATATCCTTTCTTGTTACCTGCACAGGTGTGCTTGAGACAACTCAGGCCAGAACCTTGAACACCGTCAATGCTACGTATGTTTGAGTATTAAAATCTGAATGACCCGAGTCAACCAAGGTTACCACATTTCTGGCAACCAGAGTTTAGGTTCCACCTGAGTTAAACCAGTGTTAATCAAGGGGAGCTTAAGGCAGTACCCAAAATACAACGCCTAAAATGCAACCTTGGTTATAATAATGGCTGCAGGGAGATGGAGAAACACAACAGCCATTGCTGTACACACAACTGTGAGAGGTTAACAAATGTTTCATGGCTTGACAAAGCTGCCTTTGTACTTTTTCTATATAATACATGTAAAACGACAAATTTCAAAATAATGGTTAGAGATGCAAAGTAGTCATCAAGGTTGCAGTCGAAGGTATTTATATCACCAACATGGTTTATCCCATCAACACTACAACGACTACAATGACATACACAGAGTGTGGCAAATAACAGAGTTGTCTTCATTGGTGGTCTGATGAAGCATATTGTTTCATAAGTGTCACAGTTTAACTCTATAATCCTGTATTCCATGGCCATGTATAGAATAAATTTTCTTACACAAATTCTATTTTTTTCTATGTCTATCATTTTATAGATGATAGGGATGTACTTCTGAGATACGCTGATAAACTGCTATTACTGGCAATTAAAAATAATATCCTTTATTGAAAAAGTACAGGTAATTCTTGAATTTGAACTCTCCATTTGTCCACAGCTTCAGGACCCAGTATGGAAGCCTGATTTTGGTCCTGCAGACTTTGTCCCGTCTTGGGGCGCGACAGCTGTTGGCGCCAGGAAGTTCCTCATTGCATTCAACATCAACCTGCTTGGAACCAAGGAGCAAGCCCACAGGATCGCCCTCAATGTCCGGGAACAGGGCCGGGGAAAAGATCAGGTGAGGGCAGCAGATATGAGCCCCGTTGGGACGGATGATTCAATATTCTTATTGGTGGGGGTTGGAAGTGGCTAAGGATTTAATTGAGATAGAATATTTTTTGGGAACAGATTTATATGTTTAAAAGACCAACATTTTCAATCAGATTATGGGTTTCGTAAAAGCCCAAGACCTGTGTCACTTTAGGCTTTCCTTCCACATCAGCTGATGCACCTTTATGTCCTGGCTATTGAGGTGAATCTCCAGAAACTTGTAGTCTGTGTGATATTGGAGAGTGATGTTGTATTTCAGCCAGGCCGTCTGAGTGATGTCTGGGCTCTTGAGGCGAATCTCCAGAAACTTGTAGTTTGTGTGATATTGGAGAGTGATGTTGTATTTCAGACAGGCCGACTGAGTGATGTCCTGGCTATTGAGGCGAATCTCCAGAAACTTGTAGTCTGTGTGACATTGGAGAGTGATCATGGTGATGTTGTATTTCAGACAGGCCGACTGAGTGATGTTGTATTTCAGACAGGCCGACTGAGTGATGTTGTATTTCAGACAGGCCGTCTGAGTGATGTTGTATTTCAGACAGGCCGTCTGAGTGATGTTGTATTTCAGACAGGCCGACTGAGTGATGTTGTATTTCAGACAGGCCGACTGAGTGATGTCCAGGCTATCGGCTGGTACATGGAGGAAGCCAACATGGCCCAGGTCTCCATGAATCTCACCGACTATGAGAAGACTCCTCTACATGTGGCCTACGAGGAATGTGCTAAAGATGCTGATGTAAGTAGACAGTTCCATAAGGCTTACGATACCCCAAGTCTTACGATGCATTATGTGCCCTGAAACATCACCATATGGCTTACAATACCCCAAGTCTTAGAATAGTGGTAGAGCATCCGCCCAGAGAGCGGAAGGTCCAGATCCCCGGCCGCGTCATATCAAAAGATGTTAAAATATGGTACTTGTTGTTACCCTGTTTGGTGCTCGGCATTAAGGGGCTAAAACAAGGACTGGTCAGCTTGGGGGGAAGTATAATGTGTCTGAGTGGGGTATTCATGTTAAACTGCGGCATGGTATCTCAGTGGGCTAGCACTATAAATCGGCATTAGTCCGGACTAGAACAAGCAGCCCCCCCCCCCCACACACACACACACACACACACGTGTGCATGCACGTCACTATATAAGTGCAATAATCTTGGACACAAGTATGATAAAATTTAATGAACTTTGAATATCAGTCTATAAACTGTGTGACGTAGAGATAACCCCAACATGATGTTGCTGTTCACAGGAGCTTAACTTGGCAGTGGTAGGCTCGCAGATAGTGGGCGTGGTCCCTCTGCAGGCGCTACTGGCGGTGGCTGACTTCTACATGGAGAAGGAGAACCTGTTTATACTGGAGGAGGACCAGAAACTCAGGCTGGTAAGACCATTTATAGCATACAATCCTTATGGGTTTGGTTTGGTTTGGTTTGGTTCGTTTGTTGTTTAATGCCGCACTCAGCAAGATTCCAGCTATATGACCGTTTATGATGGCGGTCTGTAAATAATCGAGTCTGGACCAGACAATCCAGTGATGGACATCATGAACATCGATCCACGCAATTGGCAGTCTTTATTGAGGATTGAGTGTAAAACTTATTGATATTTTTGACCCAGCAGGAGAAGAGGGACCTTGTGGCTGCTAGGATACACTTGTGCTATGCTGTCATAAAGACGTTTGACGTCAACTAACTTCTGTGAAAATAGTCATGTGTGATGTCATGTATCATGTATCTTTTCACCCATAAGGTCCCTTATCTCACGATTGGTAATTTGTGTTTATACATTAAGTGGGTCTCAACGTTTCCTGACTTGTAAGTTCATAGGATCTATTCTTGGTATCTTAAGGGATTGTTAAGGGTTTTATCGAGGTGGTAAACGTCTAAGACCTGCATAACTTTGGGCTTTCTTCCCACATCAAGTTGACACACCGTGATATAACTGGAATACTTTTCAAAGCGGTGTTAAACCCAACTTACACACTCACTCACTATTATTATCTCTCCTTTGTCTAGTTCTCTGACATCCTACGACCTCTGTGACACTTTCATGGGGATAAAATGAGTCTTGTACAATGCTGCTTCAGTGATAGTTAAGTAGTCTACAACTTACTGTATTTGAAGTAATTTGAAGGGCACCCTCAAAATTCGAAATAGGGGGCTCTTATTAGAATATAATTTTGGTGAGAGAAAAACAGAGTTAAAAGTTCATAAATTTTGTGGTTTATGCTGACAGCTTGAAATGATACAAAAGAAAAGTCTGTGCGTATTATACACGACAGGTATATTTTCCAGAATTCAATTGCCCATAATTAAGGGTGCATATAACACACGAGTGTGTATTATACACGAATAAATAAGTCTGGTGTACATTGATCAATCGGAAGGGGTGCTAATTGGGATTGTTCACAAACCAATATATTAGGAAATATCGCCGTGGCGCATCTTAGAGCGGGGTGCTTATTACATTGAATATGGTAAGCCACTAGTTCAAAGCCTAAGTCTGGTAAAATTCTGTCTGGTGTACCAAACTCAGCTCTTAAGAATTCATATAATAATGCTAGATTCTACTGAAACGTATGCTGAGAGCCATGTTCAGGCTAGTAGTCTCAATTTTATTTGGGCACAAAATGGTTCACTGGTTCAGGAGGAATTATCAGAATTGTTAACCCATGAAGATCCGGGGTAGAATAGGTCTTCAGCAACCCATGCTTGTCATAAGAGGCGACTAACAGGATCAGGTGGTCAGACTTGGTTGATACATGTTATCGTATCCCGATTGTGTAGATCGATGCTCATAATTTTCTGGTCCAGACTTGATTATTTACAGACCGCCATCATAAAGCTGGAAAGCAAACAAACTCTTAGAATTGTTAAAGCCATTAAAGAAGAAGAGTTTTGCACCTTTTCATTGAGAACCAGTGACAGACAGTGGGCTGTTGACAAGCAGAATATGCTATTTCATGCTTCTCTAAAGACTAACATCTAGTCTCTGAAATAAACACATTTTATAGAAATAAACAGTTGTTAAATTATAGTTATATAATATAATCAAAAGGAGCCAAGAGATTTTCTTCAGCTTCATCCCAGACTTACCAAATATTATAATTTATAGATTTGCATGGGCTGTATTAGATATATTCGTGTCAGGGTGTGTTTGACAGACTAGCTGCTCTACTCTATGTCTTGTTTCTTGCCCTTATTCAGGTTATTAACAGACTTGGATTGAACTCACTGGGCGCCTTCAGCCCCAAGGAGAGAATCATTGAGTACATGATCAGAGCTGATGAGGATGGGCCGCTTGTCAGCATGGATGTGAAGGATTTCATCATGACAGTCGGCTCCCGGTCACCATCCCCGGGGGGTGGGTCTGTGGCAGCTCTCTGTGCCTCTGTGGTGAGTACATGGATGACACTGGGGCTCAGTTATCTCAGTGAAAGTCGGCTCCCGGTCACCATCCCCAGGGGGCGGGTCTGTGGCAGCTCTCTGTTCCTCTGTGGTGAGTACATGGATGACACTGGGGCTCAGTTATCTCAATGACAGTCGGCTCCCGGTCACCATCCCCGGGGGGTGGGTCTGTGGCAGCTCTCTGTGCCTCTGTGGTGAGTACATAGATGACACTGGGGCCCAGTTATCTCAGTGACAGTTGGCTCCCGGCCACCATCCCCGGGGAAGGGTCTGTGGCAGCACTCTGTACCTCTGTGGTGAGTACTTAGATGACACTGGGGCTCAGTTATCTCAGTGACAGTCGACCCCCGGTCACCATCCCCGGGGGGGCGGTTCTGTGGCGAGTCCGTGGATGACACTGAGGCATAATTATCTCCAAGATCCTGATGCGATCCCCCCCTTTGGTACATTGTATAAAGCCCAGTTCTGATGTCTCCTGTCTTGATATTGGAAGACTATTGCAAAACATGGCATAAAACCTGACTCACTTCAAACTACAACTGACTGACAATTTAAATTGGAATATTGTGTTTGACCCAGGGAGCAGCCCTAGGTGCAATGGTTGGATTCTTGACTTACGGGAACCGGAAGTTTGCTGACCTTGACGCTAAGATGAGGAAGCTGATCCCTCCTGTGTACACCGCCATGAAGGACCTCATCCCCTTCATCGACGCTGATGCGGGAGCGTTTAGTGAATACATGGTCAGTTTTGAAGCATCACTCATGTTGCATGGTGGAGACGCGTAGATTCTGTCATCACTCACATCATAAGAACACCATGTTAGATATACAGTGTTCCCTCGCTATTGGGCTCTTCGATAAAGCGCTACCACGGTTACTACGCGCGGTATCGCATGGCTCCCAAAATTAATGTACACTTTTAATACTGAGAGTTTTACACAGCCGTGATTGTATTGTTGTTCGTTGTGCATTTGCACATAACGCTTCTCATTGCATAATCAACCGTTTATCGCTGAATGGAGTCCTAATAATCTGTTTGAAAACATCCGCGGCAAGTCCCGGAAATACGATTGTTCTACTAGTTAACTTTTCAGACTATACATCCTTTGATCTTAGAAGCGCATGCATGCAATAAAAGAGAACCACAAGCGAAGTTTATTTTCTTAATTAGTGGGCAATCCAATTTGAGGCGACACTGTCAACTCACATGTAGTTGCTGTCACAACACGGCGGTCATTCCTTTTGATTTGGATCAAGTAACCGTATCAAACCAATTAATCTGGCTTGAATGTGTATCTATATTTGCATGAATGTGTATGAATGAGCGTAGTGCTGGTCAAAACTCTCGTTTTCCGTATTTTAAGCAACATGACCAATCAATGCCACTGAATCACTCTGTACTTGTGTAATGAATTGTGATTGGCTCTTCACTCATAGCGTCTGTTACTACCATTATCGATCGATATTTTCATGTAGACTACATTCACATTCAATGTGACAGTTAAGGCTTGTAAATAATAACAAACGGTGAAAACATAATGGATATATATTTTTACACTATGAACCGTAAACAACTTGTATCATTGCAATGTGCGAGACAAGGCAAAGATCGTGAGATTGGCCAAGCGCTCCCCCGCCTTGGCCTCGGTTAAACGGCTCATCGTCTATAACGCCCACCAATTATTTGGACCCCATTGGTAGCGTTGTAGCGAGGGACCACTGTACCATTAAGATTTTTGGACAGTGAATGTTTCAACAGCAACAACAAGTGTGTGTCTGTGTGTATGTGTGTCTGATGGTGAGTCTCTGTCTGTGTGCGTGTGTGTGTGTGTGTCTGTCTGTCTGTCAGTGTCTGTATGTGTGTCTGATGGTGAGTCTGTGTGTGTGTGTGTGTGTGTGTGTGTGTGTGTGTGTGTGTGTGTGTGTGTGTGTGTGTGTCCGTGTCTGTATTTGTGTCTGTCTGTCTGTAGGTGGTTGTGTTTGTTGTTTTTTGCCTCTTTTAGCAACATTCGAGCTATGTGACAGTGGCCTGTAAATAATCTTTAATAATAATAATTGATAACAATAGTCAGGACCAGATAATCCAGTGATTGATATTGTGAGCAACAATCCACACTGTTGCGGTATGGAGACGCACATTTCAACCAAGTCACCGAGTCTGACCAAATCGGTCTATTTGATCTCCTCTCACGGCCAGCACAGGTCACTGGGGGAATACTTGATAGTATTGTGTACCCTCTGCCTGGGTGTATTTGTACAGGCATCTTCCCGAGGCAAGAGAGTTAACTGACTATAAAAGTCCAGTTTCCACCCTTGCTGAACTAGGCTGGTATTATGGAGTTAGATTTTGGCTGGAGTAACGAGTCTATGCATAGTCCAATCAAATTCACGCACCGAAATCGAAATCTGGTTCGTAAACTGTCATGCAGATTTCGGTTGATTGCACGATTTGCACAGCATGTGCACCGCCAGCTCGTTGTCAACAGATATTTTCCAAATCTTTTCATGTTTTTAATCAAGGTGCTCACGTGATTTGAAGCACTTCGCGTTGTAAGACCCGTTTTCTCACAATATAGATCTTGATTATCGAACAGATCGTCTTGACTGGGCGCCACCATTTTGTTTGAAGCTAACGCAAGTGATGCGAGAGGTGGAATCTGATTGGTCCATAGGAGAGGCATAGAAGGGACTTAACTCCTAACAGCCACTGGTGGCGCTATGATCAAGCCCAGGAATTCCAGCCTAGTTCGGCAAGGGTGGAAACTGAACTTTTAAAGTCGGTTAACTCTCTTGCCTCGGGAAGATGGGGTACAGATAGACAGGATAAATAAAAAATATTTGAATTTCACAAGGATTATTTGAAAGGTTTAAATTTGGCCATGTGTTGTTTTCATGTGAAAAGTACTGGAATTATCTTTGAAAATTTCTTGAACTGTGATACAATGTGGCTTTATGTTGGCGATGCAATGAAGGGAGACCACTCTTACTTTGCATGTCATACCATTGTAATTCTTACGAAAATTCTACCTCTATTAAATATCTGCCATATATCCTGGATTTTTACTCCATCACACTTACTAATATTTTCAGATTTTCAACAGACATCCTCTTTCACTTTTCATGTCATACCATTATGTTTGTGGTGTGTACAAGATTTGTGATCATAATCAAACAAGTATTCATCGTTGCATATATTTTGTGAGTTGTCTCTATTTGTCCAAATAGTTCATGAAAGTTGTTTAACTTTGACCACGTTTCCTTACTTTTCTGTTACAGCTGGCTGTTAAACTACCACGTAAGACAGAAGAAGACTCCCAACTGTAAGTCAAACTTTATGAACATTGTTGGGATGAAATGATTATCTTACTAGTAGTACAATATTATCTATGGATATAGCAATACCATTATGATGTTCCTATGATTCATTGAGTCAGCTTCTTACGTAGCTGGAAATTTGTAAAGGATCTTTAATTTTAGACAATTAAAATGACTGACACGAAGGATAAGGCTTAAATAAATAAAAGAAATGGTTCTGAGGCAATGGCTTTTGAAAATATAGTTTGGGAGGGTAAGTGCAGTTTTTTTGTTTATTTTGTTGGGTTTTTTTGGGGGGCGGGGTGTGTGTGTGTGTGTGTTAATCTATAATGTAACAAAAGAAACAGTTGTGTACAATCAACCTGGAAAAGGGCCTCCTTACATAAATGTATTCTTGGTGAGGTATTTGACTACCATTGGACTTAGAATATTTAAGGATTTTGGGGTGGGTGGGGGTGGGGGGGTCAAAATGGGAATATGAGCGAAATGTGGGGTGAACTTTATGATGGTGCTGGCGGTGCCTGAGAACCAAGACTTCTTTTTTGCCTTAAGAATGATGCCCCAATGCCCCAGAAACATTTCCTTTTTTCAGGCTTATTTTTTGCTAAACCTACTCTCACTGACCCATAACCCAAGAGGGCTACAATAGCCAAAGCCAGTTAAAGACGAGAAACAGTCACTCTATGTTTAGTAGTAAAACTTATGTCAAGCTTCTTGTTTTGCAGTCGTGAGATCGCCATGCAGCGTGGCCTGCTGACCGCTGTCCAGGTGCCCATGTGTGTGGCACGGATTGTCAACTCTCTCTGGCCACACCTCACCGAGATCGCCAAGATCGGAAACATCAACTGCAGATCAGACTTGCAGGTATTAATGGAGCCAACAAGCTTTTACAATCCTCACGTCCACTGTTCCATATCCACTCTAGGTCAAGAGACCGCCTCTGTGGTCTAGTGGTAGAGCGTCCGCCTGGAGAGCAGAAGGTCCGGGGTGCGATCCCCACAGCGTCATACCAAAAGACGTTAAAAGATGGTACTTGTTGTTACCCTGTCTGGAGCTCGGCATTAAAGGGCTAAAACAAGGACTGGTCGGCTCGAGTCAGTATACTGTCTGAGTGGGGTATTCATGTTAAACTGCGGCATGGTATCTCAGTGTGCTAGCACTACAAATCGGCATCAGTCCGGACTAGTACAAGCAGCCACACACACACACACACACACACACGTGCATGCACGTCGCTTTATAAGTGCAATAATCTTGGACGTGACGTTAAACCCAATTTCACCTCACCACCTAGGTCGAGACATCATGACTAGTAGTTATTGAGACATTGTCTTTGTGCAGTTAATTGTGTTATTATATTACACATTTATTTACTGCAGTCATCCAGATACTAGTATCTGCTCAAATTTGTTCCCGAACAGCGAATCCGTATGCATTACAGTTACCATTCTCAACTCCCTGGGGAGTATAAAACCCGATCTGCCTGCAGGCACTAGAGGGTTTTTACATCCGCTTCACATTTTGGTACCATTCCCTACTGGGTGAACAGAGGCACATTTGAACCAAGTCACTTACCCAGGGTGACACCACACGTTTTGACACTTGTGTTTCCTGTATATGATCGGATCATTAACTGCTAGATGCGTAGCCATCTTAATATTTGAGATAGCAAAAATATGAATTGGTGAAATGAAGGATGTGTTTGTTCTTAAGCCAATCAGATGTCAGCTTTCTAAAATGATTTCTTTACAACCTTGATTCAGGAATTTAGTTGTAGTGAAATCCTCACAGAACTTAAGTATGCCCCCTGTTGTAGTCCCTTTCAGGTGTAAAGATGTACTATATGTATATAACATCCACAAGAGTATCATAGCACGACCTCAATATTTTTTATTCTGAATTCCCCAATTATGTTCGTTTACAAGGTACAGAAATCAAAATTCTATTCTGAATGGTTTGCTCACTCATGACAAGAACTTTGAAGCCTTGGTGCTGATTGGCTGATTAGAATGCCCCCCCAGACTGGGCACCCTATCTAGTGGTTCTCTGATCTCCATGCCGCGAGTTATCCTATTAGAGTAAAACAAGATGTGTCAAAGCCACATTGGTAGGATTGCCAATTAGCCCGCTATTTAGCTAAAAAAACAATAGTCTTGGTTCTCAGGCACCACCTTAATCATCATAAAGTCTGCCTCACATTTCGTGTTTATTTCCATTTTGCCAAAAATAAAAAAGTCATAACACTTAAAAACAATGCGAGCCAATATAGCACACAGTTACTTCCCTTTACATGCGCTCTGCTTACTAGGCATCTCGTGTTATGGTCATGGCGGCAATAGGAGTTTGTATGCTTGTGTATGTTGGGAGGTCCTTTCACAGTTGATGGCACACATCTGTGTATTTTGTTACATACTAGTTTGAACAAGCAAAAAAAGAACAAAAAACAACCCCCCGCCCACACTATGTTTTCAAAAATCATTGTCGAAAAAACAATTCTTTTATTTTTTTATGCCTTAAGGGCATTTCCTGTTTTGAGGTACAATTGACTGATATTCTACAGTGAAACCAGGTCCAGATGCAACACCATATTTCAAGGTGTACAGGTTTGTAAAAATTTCAGTGCTGCACTCGACTGAATGGTGGATTGTCATATCGACCACTACTCTCTTGTATCATTACGGTTTGCCATAGGCTTGGAACATAATTATCATGTACCACCTTGTATATCTACAAAATACCTCAAAGTTTTGTTTCCAGCAAATTTAGTTTACAAATCATTGCGATATGACATCAGAGATCCAGATAAACCAATCAAATCGTTTCCTCGCTAGTGAATCAAGTCGCATTCAAACTTCGAAGTACGATGCATTTTTGAAACTAGTGAAGTTTTAACCTAAGAGATAACATAAGGGATGAATGTAGAACACTTTCCTTTTTTGCACTTTTAAAGTTTATTGCATTTAACAGAGAAAATGTATCTGAAAGTTTTCTAGCGCTCGTAATACTGCTGCCATTTTGAAATACACCATGGGTTACCTCCCTTGCCTAGTGCTTAAAGGGCAAGTTCACACGGAAATGAACCTATTTTTCTTGTACTTTTTCCACATTAAAAGTGTTAACCTAGAAGTGTCAAGGACAAAAATATAAAAATATCACAATTAATTAACATATTTTTCGCATTAAATCGATTTATATTTTTCACATTAACCAAGTGTTCTATTTCCACAACAAAAACACCATGGCTTATGCCCCTTGCAATATGACGTCATTGGTGCCAATTGATAAACATTATGACGTCATCATGCTTTGTTTAGAGCCGCTTCACGTGGTGTAGGTACAGGTGTGTGATTCTAGCGTCTCAGATGCCAGCCAGCATAGTGTTATGCTGAGTCACCACTGCGCCGGAATGTGTCGTAGGCCATGTTGTTTTACCGCAAACTGGTACTTGATATCTTTTGCGTTGAGAATAGACAGGGACCCAGTTGAATTGGCACCAATTACGTCATAATCTAAGGGGGATAACTCAGGCCTGTTTAGCTCGAAAAACGAAGGCCTCATAACGGCATATCATTTTCTCACTATTGTGAGCTTCCTACTTTCACTGTGAAAAAAATGAGTGTATATTTTCAAATACAGATATTAACTAATTCTAAAATTGCGTTTTGTTTAGAAAAAGATAAAAAGTGATTTTTGCGTGTACACTTCCCCTTTAAAAGGTGTACAGTGATTTGAGTGTACTTTGTAATTTGAAGGCATCACTGCAACCTCAAGGCAATAAAGAATTATGTCCCTTTGAGGAAGAGTTACTGTCTTTTTGCGCATGTCAAATGAACCTCAAAATAGTATCTGAGTTTATGAAAAACGTTTTAAAAAATTAACAATGAAGCAATATTTAACTACCTTATTTTATTGTGAAAGTGCTAACTTTTCCCCCAAAATACAGCTGTTTAGAAGTGGGTGCACATAATACATGCATACAATGAGTTGTTTTTGTTTTTTCCCCCAACACAGTAACACTGGAAATACCAAATCTGTACCGAAGTTTGCAACTTAATCCTGTACCCTGTCTGGTTTCAGAATGTGTTCATTGTGTATCTGGACTAAAGTTTGTAATCTATTTTATTAATTGTATTCAAAATGTCATTCAAAATTGATTACATTAATTGCACCTGAGGAAAGATGAAAATATATTTATTGCACATAATACTTGAAAAATATGTTTTTCCAAAATACTCCCATCCCTGGAGCAGTGTTCGAAAAAGGAAAGCTGCCATTGGGACCCACTGACTTGAGAAGCTGCAGGACCTGACTAAACTCTTCAGGACCTCATTTAAAATAACTGCAGCTTGTTGTGACAAATAAATCGACACCTAAATTTACTGCAGGCTATATGGATTAGCGCTGGGACGAGTCCAAATTTAGTACCCGGGTACCCGCCCCCCTATTACCCTACCCTACCCAGGTACCCACTGTAGGTCTCAGGAGATGTCTCAAACTGTCAGTTTGGTAACTTTTTTTAGCATAGCCCTGCAAAATGTATTTAGATACATGTATTAATAATCTGGTCATGCATACACTGAAATGGACTAAGTTATATCTTTATTCAACCATATCGGACAGAATGGATGCATAGTCAGAATGAAAAGTGAACATTAATGACTTTCAGTGTAACCATAGAGTTCCAGATAATTTAGTCATTTGACAATGTATCACGTGACTAACCACGGGTCCAGGTAGTCCTGTGGGTACCCGGGACCTACTCAGTACCCACCCGACCCGAGTACCCGAGTACCAGAGTTACCCGTCCCAGCCCTAATATGGATCCATACAAATTTGAAACTACAGTCCCAACACGAGATCTATCTGCTATGGGCTTACCGGTAGGCTCTTATGTCGAACACTGCAGTAGAGGGGTGTGTGCATTATGCTTGGGGATGCACTGTACTCCAGAAAATATGGCAATCATGTGATCTGCAATAAAATGCCCTGTTTGTGGTATTCAGGTGGGTGTGCGAGCGCTGGAGACAGGCGTGTGGGGCGCCTACTATAACGTGAAGACTAACCTGAAGGACATCAAGGATGAGACATTCAGAGAAAAGGTACAACAGCAGCTCTTCATTGGAGGGGATTTAGAAGAACATCGTGTCAGAGAATGGTTTGGGGAGGGTGTTTTAGAAGAGGTATTTTCCACTCTCAAGGAAACTGATTGAGAATCTGACTGAGTGTCTTTTGATATCACAATATGAACACGATTTCATCAATGTTAGGACTCTGAGGTTTAGAATTTGCTGAGGCATTTTGAACCTTTTCGTCAAGTGTTGATATGATTCTTAGCTCAGAGCAACAATATTGAAAAACATGTTTTGGGCTATTTATTCAGACAAGTTTTCTTCAACATGTCATGAAGTTTGGTGTATGTTTTGTTAGTAGCAGGTCGTATGACATGTGGGCTGTTTTTCACAATATTTTAAATTTTGACCTTGCTTTGACCTTTCTGTTTTTGACCTACCTCTTAAAATCAAGATGCATATTTGGGTCTTGTTTTCCTGTTATTAGTTTATGGTCATCAGTTTTTATGCAATATTATTTTATCAACATTTGAAAGTGGCGTCTTTGTTGACATTATAAACTGTTGACTACCATATATGACCCTAGATAAGCCGGTCTCTTAGATAAGCTGGTGTCATAGATAAGCTGAGGCATTAACTTGGTCCTTGAAATCTGTATCAAAATGTTATGTGCGGTAGATAAGCGGGACCCCCAACCTAAAACTATGTCTCGTCATAATCTGTCATCGGAAATAGAATAGCAACAAGTCCGTTTTGAATTACGCAAGTTAATCGTGTCCTTACACCATCAGTAATAAAAAGTGTTAAATGGTATATCTGGACTCATGTTTGTAATCTACGTAATCTATATCATTAATTTTTATCAAACTTTCATTCAATAATAATTACATTAATTTGGGTGTCCATCCGGTACTTAGAACTTCCATTTGCCCCGTTCCATAAGGTCCCCAACTCACTGTTATGAAGTCGAAATGGTAGGTCATCATGTCTAGTGATGTTTAATCACAGAAATCTCATTTATTGACAAAGTTTGTTATAGCGTTGTTCATTCACCTGCAGCGATACGATGTAGTTTTTTTACCACCAGAAAAAGAGTTTGATGAAAGTGTAACCCGTACATAAGCTGACCCCCTTTCTACAGAATCTTTTTCTGGTCCTCAAAATTCGGCTTATCTACAGTCATATACGGTACATACCCAGGGAGACCGCCTCCGTGGTCTAGTGGTAGAGCGGCCACCCGGAGAAGGTCCGAGGTTCGATCCCCGGCCGCGTCATACCAAAAGACGTTAAAAGATGGTGCTTGTTGGCACTCGGCATTAAGGGGCTAAAACAAGGACTGGTCGGCTTGGAGACAGTATACTGTGTCTGAGTGGGGTATTCATGTTAAACTGCGGCATGGTATCTCAGTGAGCTAGCACTATAAATCGGCATCAGTCCGGACTAGTACAAGCAGCCACACAAACACACACACGTTCATGCATGTCGCTATATAAGTGCAATAATCTTGGACGCGACGTTAAACCCCATTTCACCTCACCTCACATAACGAGGGATGTGTTGTGGCACTGTTATAAAAAAACAACCTGTTCTATTTTTCAGACTGAGAGTGAAATCAATGAAGCAGTGAAGACAGCACAGACAGGCTGTGCCGACATTCTCAAGATTCTAGAAGAACGAGAATAGGAAAATCAGTCACAGAATAGCCGCACCAAACTTTATGAAATAGCTATGAGTTTCCACAATAGTGATATATTCAGGCAGTATTTCAAACTGTTGGCACTACATGCAGGAAGTCAACAGTATAGGAAGGTTCATCAGTATTAGTAAGACATGACAAGCAGGACTGTAGGGTTACATTGTCATGTCACACATGTAGGACATGATACACGAGAATAGGGGCCCATTCCTCAAAGCGGTGTTTAAACTCCCATGGGGCGGTCGGGTAGCCTAGTGGTTAAAGCGTTCACTCGTCATGCCGAAGACCCGGATTTGATTCCAGACATGGGTACAATGTGTGAAGCCCATTTCTGGTGTCCCCCAACGTGATATTGCTGGAATATTTCTAAAAGCGGCGTATAACCATATCACTCACTCATTTATAACTCCCATACTTTAACATAGGCATACGACTGTCGCACTTCTACAATCGCTTTGTGGCACGCGCCCTAACAACTTTCAACCAAGTCATCTTTGCAGTACTACTGTTTTAAGGGTGTCTGCTGGTCAGTATTAAAAGTGTTTCTTTTTTTTCTAAACTACAGTAAGCTACGGTTATAACAAACTCAAAGGGACCAGTAATTTTAGTTTGTTATGACCATAGTTCGTTATGAGCATTTCGACTGAACTTCCTCACTTATGTCTGCGCATTTTAAAGACAGAATATATCCACTTCAAAGGCTATAGCCTAATCACGTTTTTACTACTGTTAATTGGGGGAGTAAAATGAGGACGAGGTGCCAGTATTGGATCCAGATAATCACTCGCTTTCAAATTGTTTATTGCCGTTTTGAAAAGCCACGTGTGGCCGCGGATATTTTGATAGGCTGCTTAGTGACATGTGAGCAGCTCAGAGATAAACAGTTCATTATAAACATAAACATTGTTGTTGACAGAGTACACGTTGGACCACAATGTTCGCTACATCAGTTATTAACGTTATAACCTTGTTCGTTATATCCATCAATTTTATGTGATAAAATAAGCAGATCTGTCGGTTCATTATAAGCGTGTTCATTATAAACATAGTTTACTGTATTTATTTCTAAAATCTTTATTTTGTATAACTGGCCAAATAAAAAGAGAAGGGTTGGTGTGCTTCTTATTGTGCTAGGTGCAGTGGCAATCTCCATCCAAATTACTCTTCAAATTTTGAATCAAGAACTTTGTCAAAATATTTTTCAAGCATGTCCATTTTGAAACTACGGCCATAAAGTTTGAGAAAGCTGCTTCCTGATTGGCTAATGTTGACTTCCTGTTACACATTACATTGGTCGGTCAAAGTTCGTGAAAGGTAGTTCTAACGAGCAGTAATGGGATGTCCTCACATCTTTGTGTAGCAGAAGCAAGCATGAGGATCAGATTTTAATAAGATTGGGTGAAGTTGTTAGCTACTGTGTCAAATTCACACTTTACAACTGGGGATATGGGAAGTCATTTAATGTTTTAATAGATTCACATTAAAGTAAATAGTATTTGATAGCATTTAAGAATATTTTAACCAAGTGAGATAATTCTCCTATGCTTGAAGTCATACACAATGTGTAAGTGGGAATTAATGCTCTTTCTGTTTAGATAATTGTTTAATGATTTGAATTTTAGTCTACAATTCTTGGCTTCACTGCTTCACATCAGCAATAGATTGACTTACATAATATTAGTGGAACACTCCCGTACACATACCAGCAGATGTCCTTACCAGCAGTGCTTTGATAAGATTTATGTATATATTACTGCAAGAGCCATGACACTGTCTACAAGTCCAATACAACTTTGATGTTGTCTTAGCAGCTGGATCAACAAGGTCACTTTGTATGCAGTTTTACATATCCAGTCTGTCTTATCCTTTAGCAGCTTAAGTCTTAAGTCTTTCCGGTTCGTAGGCTAAACTCTTAATAGACCAAATACAGTATTCGCCGTAATAAGTACCTTTTCCGAAAATTGACAAAGGGCCGCTCTTATTTAAACCATTTACAACAAGTTAAATTTGTTGTCAGAGATTGAGTTGTGGTGAATAAAATTAAACGTGATGAAACTAAACGTTTTTGATAATAGTTATAAGGAAATTATATTCCCTTTCTACACTACTGTGTTCTTTAAATATCTGTAATATACACAAAATGATGACTGTCATGAAAATGTTTGGTCTGAGTAGGAGCTGATTATTAAGTTTATTTGCACTGGGCCAGGGGGCACTTACTTATAGGAGCAGGGCGTTTAATACGGCGAATACTGTAACAAGGTTAAGATCTCGGCTTGAAGACTTCAACATTTTCTGCCCCATATGTCGTATCACCTTTTGTATTGCACTCTAGTGTAGCACTGGGTTTAAATCATCTCTTTGTTGTATACCAAGGAGCTCGTCCAACCTGATCAGATCAGTCTTGTCAATCCTGAAATTCACAAAATATTTTTGAATTTCAAATGTGGAGTGATCAAATTCCACTGTTAATGTACAAATTAGTCTAAAAAGGCGTTATAATGCAGCAGCATGTTTATGAAGAATTGATCGGGCAATACATTCTGAGGTCCTCCCACTTATCAGATGTTTTGGTGTACTGAACTGGATACTCCTTGAACTCAGTGCAACACATCTGTCTGATATGACATGTATATCCTAGTTTGTATAGCATTTATGTCACACCTCCAGATGTTATGTTTATTAGGAGCAATATTACATCTAAAGAATGGTTTGTATTCCACATGGGGATTGCCTCACAAACATCACCACCCTAGTCAATAGTTTCAAGTTTTAAATGTCTGTTATTGTTGAAAATGACTGTTAAGGATAGGTGTGATTTGATTTCATGATTTCGTGATTTCATGTGAGGTTCAGGAGGTGCAGGGAGGAGATGTGACTCTGGTGACATTTATTACACACCTGGAGAATCATGCCTTGTCTCATGGCATTTACTGTTTGTCAAACTCACATGACCTTTGGAAATCATCCATTATCTGTGGTTGGTCCTGGTGAACACTGACTACTCCATTGGATTAAAAAGACAAATCTGGTATGACTGAATGGTTGAAATGGATTCAATTTATTTAAGAGTTTTATAGCAAAAATGAATTTCATCAACTTGTGGCTTGAACTGCTGCAAAAGTATGCTGATTTAATATGCTTTAGTTTGATATCTGTTGAAATCTGTAATTAATCAAAACAATATGCACTTTTGCATTTAATCACATCAGATTAAGATAGAGGATTTTGATCATTATTTCTCTATTTTTCTTACGGCACATCCAAATAGCACATTGTATGGATGGAGCACAAAAGAAATCTTCACTGCTAAGGAGTACTGCATGTGGAAGACCTGTCAAGGTATAGACCATATGATCATAGGGTAATTTCTCACCGGACAAGGCCTTAAGCTGTGCTTGTTATATGTCATCCACTACTCTCATTGAATATGTAAAGAAACATTACTTATTGATGAAACAAATACACCCCAAAAATCAATGTACCGTATTCAGCGTAATAAACGCCCCGCTCTAATAAGAGCCCACGGCGATACTTGCTAATATATTGGCAAGTGAACAATCCCAATTAGCACCCCTTCCGATTGATCAATGTACACAAGACTTATTTATTCGTGTATAATACGCACTCGTGTGTTATATGCACCCTTGATTATGGGCAATTAAATTCTGGAAAAATATATGTGTCGTATATAAAACAGTCAGGCCGTCAGCATAAACCACAAAATTTATCTTTCAACTCTGTTTTTTCCACCAAAATAATATTCTAATAAGAGCCCCCTATTTCTAATTTTGAGAGCGCCCTGGGCGCTTATTACGTCGAATATGGTATTAATATTGATTGTGAGGTAGATCTACTGTTTGGGCATATCATCCTTGCATAGTAATAAGTAAAAATCAGAGCTCCAGGCAAACAGTTATAAATGAAGTTTTAATCAAGGTCAAGTTAATTAAAACAGCTTGTCAAGATTATGGTTTGTATAACCAGGGTATTTTGGAAAAAGGTTTTAATATTAACTTAAAATGTGGTTAATGAAATTCTATAAGGTTCTGGGGTAAGATATGAAATGGACATGAAAGGGGTGATTGTACTGGGTGAAGCCTCGACCTACGAGGTCAAAAGGGTAATTTTTCTTTTTCTCTTAGTGACAACTTCTCACCAGCAAAGGGGAATTAGCAGGATCTGGTCTTGTAATATACGTAATAAGCGTAATAAGCGCCCTGCTCTTATAAGCGCCCACGGCGATATTTGCCAATATATTGGATAGTGAACAATCCCAATTAGATCCCCTTGCGATTGATCAATGTACACAAGTCTTATTTATTCGCGTATAATACGCACTCGAGTGTTATAACACTAACCCTTAATTATGGGCAATTAAATTCTGGAAACTTATATCTGTCGTATATAAACATTTCAGGCTGTCAGCAACGAAATTTATCTTTCAACTCTGTTTTTTTTCACGAAAATAATATTCTTATGACCGTATGTAAACATTTCAGGCTGTCAGCAACGAAATTCATCTTTCAACTCTGTTTTTTTTTCACCAAAATAATAATCTAATAAGAGCCCCCTATTTCTAATTTTGAGAGGGCCCTGGGCGCTTATTACGTCGAATACGGTAAGTGCCAGAGATCAAATGAAAAGATGGAATAGATAATCAGCCTTGAAGTGACTACATATTGTATGAATTATTGCTTGATTTGAATCTGATTAAGGATCTCTTGGTAAACAGAATGACTGAATTTATAATATTTTCTCATTTGTATGATACATATGTGCAGATAATCATTCCAGGAAGCCATTGTTTTTTTTTGTTGGTTTACAAAATGTTTGGCCGAAACTTATGTAGGTGGTACTAAAAATCAGATTTTCAACTTCCAGATTAGTACTGTTACTAATGAATGAAAAACAAACTTGTACGTCACACCATCAGGAAAGTATGTTTGTGAAACGATACAGTGAGGTAATGGATTGGTTGTTTTGTGTCCAAATAAATATATATTTTTTTGTGATATTATTCACCATTTCTTACAAACTGTGGTAAAAAAAACTTGTTATTTTTTTTATTTCCCCTAATTGTAAAACAGTCGACCCATTTCTGGGTCAAACATCATTATATTTGTTTTTTAATTTCAGTTTTTTTATGATTTGGTTTTATAAACCAACTAAAATATAAAAAGGCCTTAGAGTTTGCTCCCCTGAAAACTCTCTTTGTTGTACGTGGAAACAGAAGTCCTGATTCTATCACTGT